TCTGGTAAAGCAATCCCAGATCAGGTACTTGGAAAACAACTAAGTACTGATTATGTAGTATGGAGAATACAACCGAATTTCAGAGAAGAGAGGTTAGGCTTGGTGAGCAGAATAGGAATAGCTGATAAATTTTTCAGATGGGGAAACCAGGAAAATAGAGACAGGTTAGAAAAAATCATGGGCTCTTTCTGTGTCTAAGAAGAGGAAAGGTGTGGCAGTTCTTAAAAGTTGGAGCAGAGGCTGAGGGTGAGAGAGAAGGCCACATTCCAGGTTGAGACTCTGAAAATAACTCATTCCTGACTCTGTTGCTAGCCTTGCATGGTGCAGTGGAGAATTCTCAGTTGTGATTTGTCAAAATCTGGGTTTGAATTCTTAGAGCAGCTGAATTGCTATTGCTCAGCACTCTATTTTCCAGCACTGGAGATTTGAAGGCTTCTGATCCTCAAGAAGTTCTTGCTGTCCTCATGGCTTCCAGTCAAAGGAGTAAATCCTGTGAGGGTTCAAGCTCCTCAAAGGACGCACACTTCTCTCACACCCTGAAAGATGTGCTCCTAAGTGCCAAGTTATGTAAGTTGGTGTCATTTCTGCTCCACAAGTATCAAAAGAAGGAGCAGGTCACCATGAAAGAAACGCTGCATGTTCTGCCCCATGATTACTGTAACAACTTCCCTCTGAACTTTTGGGAACTCTGTGAGTCCGTGTATCTGGGCTTTAGCATTAAAATCAGAAAAGTGAATTACTCTGGCAATACATATGAGCTAGTCCCCATTTTGGGTCTTACATACAGTGGGATACTAGATGGCGATGATGGAAGAATCATTCTCAAAATCGACATCATTATATTTGTCCTGTCTCTAATCTTCATAGAGGGCATCCGTATCAGTGAGGAGGACCTAACTGAAAAAGTGAAAAGATGGGACAGGTTAGCTCACTCTGAGCATACTCATTTTGAGGAAGCCTGGAAATCCATCACTGAGGATTTAGTACAGGAAGAGTACCTGAGGTACGGGCAGATTCCTAACAGTGATCCTGCTCACTATGAGTTCCTGTGGGGTCCAAGGGCCCACGCTGAAACCAGCAAGATGAAACTCCTAGTTCCTATGGCCCGTCTTAATGGAATAGATCCCAAGTCTCATCCAGAACTATATGAAGAGGCTTTGGAAGCAGAACTAGGTATAGAGCCAGAGTTCCTGAGAAACAGGGGATACTGCCCAAAGGTGTCAGTGAGTTTGTTCTCCCCCGAGAAGAAATGAGGCCCATTTTCAGTCTCTGTGGAGAGCAGGCAGTTTTCTAGGTAGCAAAGGGCCAGGGGAGGGGTAAAATAGCACGCATAGCGTCTTGCTGTCTCCTCTACTTGGGTCACTTGGAAATGGACAGGGGTTTTCTTTATGGTTTTTTGAAGTATTGGTCCTTTTGTGGGGAGACTGAAGGAGCTTGCATATTTATTGAATGGTATTGATCTCCTGTGTATTTTTAGTTTTGTGATGTTGATCTTTGTGTTTTCTGGTGGGAATGTGATTTTGTGTGACAGTGATCACAAATGGAGTGCATTTTCCATTCAAATGGAACAGTCTTTCCTGTTTTATCATACAAACAGAAAACCTATTCAATTTATTCATGATAAAATGGGAGTGGAATAGGAATTTCCTTGAAAATTATAAGTTTACATCAAGTTAGAGGGATCCTAGAAAAGTGATAAGAATGAAAATCAAATATTGGCTGCTGCTTATTTCTTTTCCCCTGTTGCTCTATCCTATTAAACTTACATTTATTGCAAAAAAAAAAGTTAGAGCAGAAAATCATGTTGGAAATTTTATCTCCAATACCATAAAGGAAATTATTTCATTTTTGGAGGGAAAAATATGCCGAGCATACAGAAGAAGGAAACCAGCGTGGGCAATCAATTCCCCCACAGTCAGACCAAGATAGGCTAGAATACCCAAATCTGTTTGCCTGGTGCTATGCATACAGGAGGAAGGGGGAGGCAAGACAGGGAGGATGACAGTAGGCAAGACCTGTCTTTCTTGTTGCTTTTCAGGCTACAGTAAATGGATTTTAAAATTAACAGGCAATGCTGCAAATCTGGGCTGCAACGTTCAGAGAGGCAGTCCTGACGAGGACAACTGAAGCCCCACACTGCTCTTGTCTCCTCCTCATCCTTTCCTGCAGTGTTCAGCATTGATTATCCTCCTGCAAAAAGCAATTTCAGCAAGGAGGGTGAAGTCAGTATTAATCATAGCAAAATGTGACAGAGCAGAGAGGCCTCCCGGACTCACTGCAGCCATCTGAAGCTCTTAGGCTCCCTCCAGTTGCGCGCAAGTGCCAGGGCATTGCAGCCATGGGAAAGGGAGGGCTCTGCAGAGAGGATTCTCTCTGGGCGCTCTTCTCTCCCAGCCTGTGTAGATCACACCATCTCACCATCTCTTCATGACTCTGAAGTGGACTCAGAGGAATTTTTGAGAAGGGAAAGAGAATATGTTCCTGTTACAACTGCATTTAACTCTCAGTCTAGGGTACAGAGCAGACCACCAAAGCTGGCCAAGTGCATGTGCTGTGCAGACCCACGGCTTCCCCCGAGAGGCCACCGTCTCCTGCGTCTCCCGACTGTGCAGCAGGTGGAAGGTAGACAGGTGGCCACATTTCAGAGCTAGGGACCGAAGGGACATCCAAAGATCACCTGGGTGCCCTCTGCCCTCCGATTACAAGGTCAAGCAAATGGAAACCATGCTATATATATATTAAATATCTCCTGTCCGTGGATTATATTTCCCTGAGGGACCTCACAAATGAACCCGATGGCCACTGTTTAGAGTTAGTCCATCACAATCAGGAAATTGTGTGTGACCTTTCCTGCTTCAGTTTTGGACCCTTCCATTTCGTTCCTTTGTGGAGGAACACAGTGGAGGGTTATGAACTTCCTGATCACCAGCCTTCACATTCTTAATCTCATCTTCCTAAAATGTGTTTGTTTCTGAAATGTATCCTCATAGCTTCCATTTCCCTGCCATTAAATAATAATTATTGTTTGATATTGAGCCCTCCTTCAAGTAGTAAGTAAAACCCTTTAGTCATGGTTTTCCTCTCCAGTTTCAGTTCCTGCAATCGACAACAGTGAGCACAGTGTAAGATATTGTGTGTGTGCCTATGACCTTGTGTGTGTGTGTGTGTGTGCATGTGTGTGTGAGAGAGAGAGAGCTTTCTGTCATTATAACAACTACAAGATAAATCAGCTTACAAAGTGGTTCAGTTTTGAAGCATTCAGTCCATGATCAATTGGCTTCATTGCTCTGGACCTGTGGCAAGACAACGTATCATAGTGGGAGCCCATGGTGAGGAAACCCTCACCTCGTGGCCAGGGGCAAAGAGAGATGAAGGCTTAAATTGGGGGGGACAGTTACCGTCCAAACTACAGCAGGTGTGTATGTACAGGGAGAAATACTCACATGGGGTTATCTATGGCTTCAGGCATCCACAGTGGATCTTGCAATGTATCCCCTGTAGATAAGGGGGACTACTGCAGTTGTTCTTCTTTGGTTATGAAATTCAAACTGGGCTCCATATTCAGTGAACAGTTTGGCCAATATAAAAAGCAATCACCCAGTGATCCCAGTAGTCTAGAATGTGTATCTCCAGGATCACGGTCCCCTTTTAAACCATACCATGATGATAAGTGGTAGTCATTTGGTGTCTTATTTTCCAGTCAAACTTGGGTTCCATGTTTTCTGAGAATCCTCCTTCATGAAATATTTCTTCAATGGGCTATGATTAGTTTTAACTGATTGCTCAATGAATATGTAGGGCCTCTTTTTTTAAATGAGAAAACACATGGTTAAAAGGGGTTAGGGGCAGTGAAAAATATTCTTTCAATACCTGTGCCAGCCAGGAAGTACCCTTTCCACCCTCACCAACAGGTTTTAACCCCTTCCAGCTACTCATTCATTCAAGGAAAGACCCTATGTATGTAAAAATAAATACATTTTGTATTTTAATATAATTGGCAATATGTTTTAACACTACTCTGCACCTTTTTTTGACTTTAATAATCTGGGGATCTTTCCTCTTTCTATCTCATAGAAATAAGAAATATCTTATAGAAATATCTCACATGGATCCTCCTCATTCTATCTTATGGCTAGTAGTTTACTGAATGGATGTACCATAACATATTTATTCCAAACTTTTCTGAATACTGATTCCATTGTCCAAAATATCCTCTAACAGTGAAAGATTGTGGAAGCCTTGCCATCATACTTCACTGTTCAACTGTTTACAGAGCTCGGACTCTGAGTGCAGTGCTGTATTGGTGCCATGGAGAAGTCAAAACACTCTGAACATGGCAGCCTCCACTCTCTAAGGGAAAAGGACACAAGGATTTGGAGGGCCTGGCTGCCAGTTTTTCTTTGTTTTCTTGATGATCACACAGTCTTTCTAATACGTGCTACAAATGCCCTTTCAATGCACTGGACGTGTGTATAATTGTGTGTGCTCAGTCTGGACTATCATGGCGGCCTCTAGAGCAGGGATCTCAAAGAGGGGGTGAACTGAATGAGTGAAACTGGGGAGACTCAAGCTGTGTTGAAGATTTTTTTCCCCCAGGCAAGGGTGAAGGAGGGCAACCAGATCTTCTGATTGATCAATAGAAGCCAATGGGTAAAAGACAAATGGGATCTTTCTGTATTGTTTCTTACAATCTCATGTGAAGCTACAATTATCTCAGAGTAAAAGGCTTAACTTAGAAGAGCCAGATGCCTAGATCATTGTGTGAAATAATGTGATTTACAAATGTAGGCATCATCACACTGCACCGGCCCAGCAAATCCCATCTGCAGGCCGGATGTGGGCTTGGGTCCACCATCTTGCTCTCTTTGTATAAAGCTCAAGCCTTTTGTATAAAACTCACAGCCTTGATTTAAAAGTACTTTTTCTTATCTGAGTTTCTGTTGCTTTTGACAGTGGCCACCCCCACATGCTTGTTAAGTCTTCCTCTCCTCTCCTTCCAGGTTCTGGGATGTGGCTGTGTTGCCCAAGCTGTCCTCAGTCGAGGAATTTTTGGAGGCATCGTCACTATCAATGTGGGATTTGCAGTGGCAGTGGTAATGGCCATTTATGTGACTGGAGGTGTCTCTGGTAAGCAGTAGGAATAGTAATAGCTACTATTAATGATTCCAATTTGCTAGCACTGTACTGTGTACATTACATACCTTAATGGATTTTGATCTCAGCAATTCTGCAAGAATATGCAATTTATCGCATGTTTGCAGATGACAAAATGGCAAACAAATGGTAAGTGATTATGCAAAAGCAACATTTAGCAAGAGACAGAGCTGGGGGATAGTACTCACAGTAAATTCATCCCTAAGTCGGACCACCACGTCATAGTCTTCAGCAGTCAATACAATCCTTTTTTTGTGTTCTACCCCACACCTGGAAACCACAAAAGAGTTCCCTCTACTTACCTTGTGCCTCATGCACCCCAGCTGCAGCCTAGACTTTTTACGTGAATAATCTGATCATCACGCCGACCTTCTCAGGGCCCATGTTTGAGTTTGGGATTCTCTGACTCTAGCTCTCAAGTTCTTTCCAGCACACCATTGTGCCTTGTCCTTGTGTAAGCCAGGAAGAACTTTCTAGTGGCCTCCAGGCTCCCAGCCTAAGGGCACAGGATGCTGCTGGTCCCCTCTTTTTCTGAACCCTCTGTCACCTCTCTGGCCCTTTTTTTTTTTTTTTTTTTTTTGGTACCGGGAATTGAACTCGGGTCATTGCACTTGTGAGGCAGGCGGCAGAACCACTGAGCTAAATCGCTGGCCCTTCTCTGACCCTTTTCTTTGTTGCTTTGCAGAGAGCCTCCCAGACAGGCCCTCTCAGACAACTTTCCCTCTCTGTGGATCTCTGAGTTATCTCAGTAAGGCCTCTGGCTACTTCTTTAACTGTTTCATCTTAACTACCTGCTAAGTGCCTGGGATTACACGAGGTCCACAGTGAATACCAGCCCCAGCCTGGGGTGACTAAGGCTTGTGAGAGGCTAAGACAAACCAACCTTTCCTCTTGTGGGACTTTGATTTTGGAAGAGGCACATCTGAGGGAGATGTTGCTGCTGGACATGGCCTCCTAGAGACCCTGTCCTTTCACATAGGGCAGCTGCTCTCCTGCACTTCCAGGAGAAGAGGAGCAGTGCTACCTCCAGGACTACCCGCTGCCCATGTGCCCCACCTGAGCCTGGTTTCCAGCCATCCTAGTCCTCATTAGTGGTCATCGGTTGTGTCCAGAATTGAAGCTCTCAGTTTTAAAAGTAAAGCACAGCAGATGAAATGTTCATAAGGTTTGAGAAAATCACCTGTGCTTTGCTAGTGGCATGATCTTGCTCAGCTTAGCCCCCAGGGGGCAGAGGCAGGTGAAGAAAGGATGCTTGTGGCCTGGCCAGAAGCTAGAATTCCCTGCAAGCCATTACAGCTTGGAGGCAGAGGAAAAGCATGGCTCTCTCCTGGGGGTAGACTGGCTCCCCATGCTCTGAGGAGGGGTGAATGATGCAGAGTATCATCATCATCATCTCGTCATCATTGTCATCATCATTCTCACCATATCATCTTTCACTGACAGCTGTGCCCACAACCTGCAAGTCCACTTTTCAGTGTGGTCACCTAGACCATGACTCTGATCCTCCTTCTACATGAAATCTTGTCTGTGTTCCTTACATGAGTATACTTCCCCCCTGGAAAGCCAGCCTGTGTACACAGAGTAATTTTTAAAATTCTTTCCCACCCTCTAAAGCAGAGGAGCCTTTATAAGCCTGCAGAGGAAGATGTGGAGAGGAGTAAGGGGACGTGAGCTCTGGGGTTCAGCAGAACCTGGGCTTTGATCCTGGTCCTGCCATTTACTGGCCATGAAACATGAGGAAGTCACTTTTCTCTGTTTCTTGGTTTCCTCACCTGCCAAGTAGAGCAGTACCCATCTCATTGGGGTCTTGGGAAGAGTAAATGCATTCAATCCCCCCATGTTAGCATCTGGCAAGTGTGCAGTAAATGTTGTTCCTAGCAAACCCAGCCAAGGACATTAGGGACATTCCACAGAGCAAATCTCCTATCTGATCCTTGTGAGCAGATGTGAGTCAGGGAGCTAATTTCACTAGCTGTAGTTTGGGTTGGGTGAGAGAGAAATACATTGTTCTACAGAGCAACAGAGGAGAATCCACTTACGCCCTGTGATTGCCCCAAAATGAACGAAGCCCTTTACTTCAGGGACAGGTTGAGAGTACCCATCTCGGGGCTGTTCCCCTTCAAGAGACGTCTCCTGTCAGTGCTAGGACTGTTTTTATAGCCTCTGGGCATGGACTGAGGAAGCACTAGTATGGATTTGAGCCTCATCCATATATTGTGTGAGTATATTGACTTTAAAATATATATTGACGTTAATAGTTCACATCAATCTATTTAGGGTTATTGTTTATCAATAGATAAAAGCCCATAAAAATGAGCTATTTGAGCACATCAAGTTTCTTATTACATCTGACTCTTCCTTTTCATAAAGACAATAATCTAAACAGCATCTAGTGATGTCACGAGGATTATTAGTCTCTCAAACACTGTCTCAGTCTCCATCTGTCTCTCAGTCTCTCTCTCTGTGTCTCTGTCTCTGTCTCTTTCTCTGTGTGTGTTTCTCTTCTATTTCTCTTCATTTAGCCTTCTCTACCTAGCAGACTGAGTCCTAGATGGATTCTCTCCACACTGCTTTCTTTGTGACATCTCTCCTTCCTGGCTTTCCCGCTGATGTCCCCAACTATCTTCTCTTCTCTGCAGGTGGCCACATCAACCCAGCTGTGTCCTTTGCGATGTGTCTCTTTGGGAGGATGGAATGGTCCAAACTGCCGTTCTATGTGGGGGCCCAGTTTTTGGGAGCCTTTGCAGGGTCTGCAGTCCTCTTTGGCATTTACTATGGTGAGTAGGGATCCTGGATCCAAAGGTCCTAGGGAGCTAGGTTCATTTGAAAGTCAGAATTATTTGGTAGGACGAGGTGAGATACAACAGGAAATGTTCTATCATTGATGAGAGGAAATTCTAAATGTAAGATAATGAGGCCAACATTATCATTAGGGAAAATTTATGAAGCCTCTTAATGAAATGATGACATTGGAAGTGGGGGCAGGACATGAGGAAGGGGTCGACCTTTAGGCCCAAGCACACTAGTGTGCATACACAAAGGAAGCAGTAGGCCTGAGGCTCCTCTGCTTCCTCCCACTTGGCTGAGAAAGGGATACTGCCAAGACTATGACCTGGAAGTATTTGGAGAAGGATTCTGGGAAATGTCTTTGGAGGAGGAAACAGAAGAGAAATGGGTCAGGTGGCAGCCTCAACCCCCTTCTACCAAGCACCCAGTGTTTCCATTCTGCAGCTGTATTCGGGGAAAACACAGAGCTGGTGACCAAAGGCCCAGACTTCACTTCTGGCTGTATCAGTCAATAGCTGTGTGACTTAAACATCGTTTACCTGACTTTCCTCAAAGAATGAGGGAATTGAGCTAGATGACCCCCAAACCCTTCAGACTAGGAAATCTTGGGGTTCCACTAAAGCATCTGTCAAAGCAGTCCCTTCCATCAAACCCAAGGTGAACACAATACATTGTGACTGTCAAACCAAAAGACCTCGGGAGCTGGAGGTGATGAACCAAGCCTCAGGGAAACAGGCTGTAGAAAAGGGGCAGCTCCCTCATAGTGTGTTGTCCTAGGAGGACTAATGAGGACTTGGAAACCAGACCAGAGATTCAGAGCCAGCTAATATGGCCAGAGAGGCCTGGGGTTGGTGCTGGCTGTGTTGGCTACCAACTTCCTTGTCTGAGGGCTCCACAGGCCATTCCCCAGCTCTTCACTATACTGACACTTTCAAGTTTAGAGGTGTGCCATTGAGAGCTACTAGGAGCCCTGTAGAAACTATGAACTCTCCCTAGAATAGGTTCAAGCCTCATGTTGGCCTTAGGTTAGTCTTCAAAATTCCAGGAACTCTACCCAGAAAAGATTGGTTTGGACCCAGTAACTCAGGATTTGATCCATGTTTGGAGTGGACCACCAGCACCACCTAGGGCTTTCTTCCCTTGACACACCATCCTGGGATTCCCTAGGCATCTCTAAGACCTTCATACTATGATGTCACAAGAGAGAGATCAATGATACGGATATGCCAGCTCAGCCCAAATGACTGCTGTTGTTCAGCACCAGGCCTGGCACAGGCTTCCCTCAACCCCTCCAGAGAGCACTAACATGACAGAACTCTATCCTCCACAGATGCACTTATGTCCTTTGCTGGTGGAAAATTGCTCACCGTGGGAGAAAATGCAACAGCGCACATTTTTGCAACATACCCAGCTCCTTATCTGTCTCTGGTGAATGCATTTGCAGACCAAGTAAGTGTAGATCCAACAAGGACCTAACTTTAGTGAGAAGATGTGATCAAAGACAGGAATGTACTAAAGAATTGTAGGCCTATCAGAAAGAAAGGGTTGTGTTTCCAAAGTCAGAAATCACTGGGTATAACTCACTCTTTCTTGCCAATCTTTTGCCCTTGCAGAAGTTAATGCCACTAGAAGGGTTGTCTGCTTCCTCTTTAATACATAAACCTGTTTCACATCATCTGAGGTCCAGAAAAGAGAGGATGACTGGTTGAGGGTTTTACCCTACTCTATTCTGAGAGTCTTAGACTCATTTCCAAATGTCCATTCTCAGGGGCATGCTGCTGAAGGAGAGGAAGCAAAAACATAGTGAGATCACACAAACGATGAGTGGAGAACACTGACACTTGGTCTAGACAAAGTGTATGTGGGTTTGAGTGGAAAGAGGTGTGAATGTGATGAAACATGATAGCCACTTTCAAAGATCCGAAGGGCCATCAAGTGAAAAGTAGATTAGACTCCTACTCCCAAGGAGATTTGGCAGAAGCACAATGCCTAGTACCTAAGTAAGAGGTGCTCAAAAATAATATTTTGTGTTTTTATGGTGCTAGGCATTGAACCCAGGGCCTCACCCATGCTAAGTGCTCTACCAGTGAGCTTCAAAAAATGTGTAATAATGAATGGATGAGTCCATAATTGAATGAAATTATGATGAAATAAAGTTACATTCAGTGAAAGGAAGACTATTCTAGAAAATGGGTGTGGGCTAACTACAGACCATGTTTTCCCAGGACAATAATTACTAGAGGTGTTGGAGGCAAGTCTGGGGCTTAGAGGTGCCTGGAAACAGAAGTTTTCCAACTCGGGAAAACTGTAGCCATCTAAAGTAAGAGGTCAGAAGGGTAAAACTTTTATAAATTTAGGACAGCAACACCGGAAATCTTAGGAAGAGAGAATAATGTGAAAAGGAGAACTCGCCCAAGGCAAAATGGCTTACCTCCCTAGGATCAATGTCTGTAGAGAGAGGGAGATGGATAAGACTACTCCTTCTAGCTTCTGAGTGCCAGGAGTCTGTTCTACAGGCAGGTCAGGAAGGACCAGGGCACGGGAACTGTGCAGCCCTCAGTGCCTATCAAGATCTGGTACAATAAACTATGTCTGTCCAGCTGGTAAGGAGGCAGGGGTGTCTCAGAACGGATTTCACAGATGGCTTTCCTGATGACCCTATTCAGTTCAGGCCAAATTTCTCTCATAAAGAAGAAGATCACAGAGTAAAGAGCTGTTGAAGGACCTTTGCAGATTTCTCAGATGAATTTAGGTCATTTCCACTGGAGGCAAGAGAGAAGGGATGCTGACCTAGTCAAACGTTGACTTGACCACAAAGGACTTTGTCTTTATTCTCTGTCTTGGGACTGACAGCCATTTCCTTGGATTCTCAGGCCACTCTGGGAACTTCCCCCAGAGGCAGTGGGTCCCTACAAGCCCTGGAGGACACTCTTCTCCATTCCTTAGGCCTGTCTCTTCCCCTGGGAGAGTTCACTGCCTCAGGCTCCCCCAACAGGAGGCCACCCCTTGGAATTATGCACTGTGCTGTAGAGACCAGGCCCATCCCACTTCTTACCACACTTTCACCCTTGTCTGGGTAAAGCTGACCTAGGAAGCCCCAGTTCAGTCTCCAGAGAAGTGAAGCCAACACTCCCGATTAATACCTCACAGCCATGAGTCTCTGGGACACAGTGGGCAGACAAGAAGTAGTGATTGTTCTACCCCTGGCCAACTCTCTTTCCCTCCCTCCCTTTACTTCCTTCTCTCTTTTTGTTGTTCTAATGGAATCTTGTAGAATTTCTCATCCTTTCCCAATTGCTAGGCTCAAGATGTTTCACCAAATACCTCGGTCACAGGAAATTGCTCACTGTCTGGTGGGTGGATGTCCAGCTTCCCTAGGCCTATCCAAGTCCATCACCCAGGCTTTCTGTCATTCTGCCCTCATCTCAGAATGTTGCCAATTTCTCAAAAGATCATGGTTTTAAAGTCAGTTATTACATGTGATGAATGCCAACCATCAGCCTGTCAACACCCAAAAGAACTGTTGTCCACCATGACTATATTCCTGGGCTACCTTACCTCAAAATTATTAATTGCTTAGCTTTCAGTATTATTCAAGCATATTTCAAAATTTAATCAATGATAATGTTTCTCAGGCATCTTCGGAGGCAGGTACCACTCCAAGCTGTTTCTTCTTCAAGGAGTTCAGGGTCAGGGGCCCAGCAGGACAAATGAGCTGCTCTTCCTTGTGCAAAGCAGTAAGGGCCGTGATAGAAGTAAAACCCAAATGCAGTGGGTACTCAGAGGAAGGCACTTCTGTTGTGCCCGAGAAAGCCAAGAAAGCCTTCCCAGAGAACAGTGCTCTGAGAGAATGTCTCTTTGAATCCAATTCTTCTAACGTTATTATGACAGAAAGTTGACGAAATGGTGAAGAGCTGAAACTCTAAAATCAGTTTCCTAATTCCCATCTGATTCTTCTGCCTCTGAGCTGCACACCACTGAGCAAATGTCTTAACTTCTTCCACTCGAGAGTCTTCGACTATAACCTGAGGGTTATGGAGTTGACATCACGGGGTTATCGTGAGGCTTAATGAGACACAGCATATGAAGTACCAGGACTGAAGTAGACAGAATGTACCAACTGTTAGTTCTTATGAAGCATAATGAATGTTCTGTACATAATAGCTGGCATTTAGCCATTGAAGTAAAATAATAGCTTAAAAAGTTTTTTTAAGTAGAGGGGAAAACAGCTTTAATCCATGATTTCAGAACAGCTGCTATCATTTTTGTAAAGTCTCATAATTTTTCATTTACGTGTTTTTAAATATAAAACGAGCCACATGCCATTTTTAATTTAATGTTATAAACATTTTATGCTACCACATAGTTTTTAATAGTTGTATAATGGACCGTGAAATAGACATGCCAAACATAGTTAACTCTTCCCTTTTTAATGTTACTTAGGGCTTTCTAATTTTTCCATGATTTAGATGATTTCCATGGTATAATTCTCAAATACTCAACAGCATCAAATTATAAGCTTGTGTTTTTAAACATAAGCATATTGCTAAATTGTTGTTGAATGTCCTTTCAGAAGTGCCCCACATGCTTAATTCTCTAGAAAATCCTGAAAGAACTGGCCTTCTTTTCCTAATAGTTGGTATTGTTTGTGTTGCTTTAGAACAAATCAGATTTTTCCACTTATAATCTAATCCGATTTTTCTTTTATGATTTTTGTGTCCACTTCCTTTGCACGTTTATCTGTGGTGCCTCACATTGTTTTTCTCACTGAGTGAACATCCTTTCTATTCACCTTTCCAGCCTGTGCCTGCCTTTCCACTTAGCTCAGTAGCAGCTCAGCAGAAGAGCACAGTAGTTCACATGGAAGAGTCGAGTGCTCTGGGTCCAGACCTGCTGCCACTTACCAAGTGTTTGACCTTGGGCAGATAACTGATCTATAAAGGACACTTATCTTAGCATCTACTCTGGGATTGGGGAGAAAAAAGAGTTGTAGGCTCATCAAGTGTAGGACAGTATTGCTGGATTTATTTTTTAAAAGAAAGTGTTAATTTGGAGGTGAGCATGTGGGTAGAATACAGGCTAAGCCTCTTGCACATTTTATCTCTCCAGGTAACGTCCACCATGTTCCTCCTCATTGTGGTCTTTGCTATTTTTGACTCCAGAAATTTGGGAGTCCCCAAAGGCCTGGAGCCCATTGTTGTTGGCCTGCTGATCATTGTCCTTTCTTCTTCCTTGGCATTGAACAGTGGCTGTGCCATGAACCCAGCCCGAGACCTAAGCCCCAGGCTTTTCACTGCTTTGGCAGGATGGGGATTTGATGTCTTCAGGTAAGTAACAGTAGTGGGAGGGAAAGAAGGAGATTTCTGTTGTGCCTCATTAGCAAGGGCTGTGCTAGGAATTCCAGGGGAGGAAGAGGGACATCCTGTCATCCTTGGACATGCTCACATGGACAACAAAGGCTATCTTGGGCCAGAGGACCCTGATTCAAGGCAGAATGTAAATAACAGTAATCTCATATATATGGAAGAAGGTTAGAAAGAGGAAACATCAGATCATAGAAAATGTGGACTCCCAAAATGAGAATTCTGGGTTTTTCTTCTCCCTGTTCTGTAGGTGATAGGGAGCAGCAAAGGATTTGGGGCAGACATTTGGCATGTTTAGAATGTCCGCTCAGCAAAATGAACCTGGCATCACTGAACAAGATGGGTTGAAAAAGGATAGAGTAGAGGCCAGAAATGCATTAAGGAAAAGCTAGGGTGGCGGCTGCTAATCCTCAAACAAAAATTTCCCCAACTCTCTGAGGGACAGCAGGCCTCTAAAATGTCCCTAGAGTGTCCTGTCCTTCCAGGGCTGTATCAAAGGTATAAGCACCTCAAAGCTCCTAGCCTAGACCCAGCTCCAAGGTCTCAGCTACAACCCAGCTGTGTATCCTCAGGCTCTCACCTGACCTTGCATAGCAAGAGTGGAAGATGGCAGGGGTGGTGCCAGCCAGAGGATCAGACAGGACAAGAGCCAGCACCTGGGGCCAACTCCTGCTTTGCCCCTGAATATTAAGACATTTTCAATCAAAGTTCTTCCTGTCATTTCTTGTTAGGATATTAACTGTTTAATAGGTGAAGGACCTCTGGAATGATATTAAATTTTTAAAATAGTTTACTCAAAGTAATGAATTTCTAAAGATGGTCCTTTGGGCAGTAACACAAACACATTCCTGGCAGCCCCCAAGCTATGGTGTCCAAATGACCACCACCACCTATGCCTGTGAGACGGGGCCAGGCAAGTAACCACATCAGATGTTCTCCATTTGTCACTTGTGCTCCGGTACAGTGTGTATGGTCATGTACCCTGCAGTTATCTTGGACCTTAACCTGCTAAATGACAAAGAGAGATTGCCCTAAAAGGAAATGATGCCACCAGAGTCATCTTCCAGCTCTTCAAGGCCAGTTGAGAGAAGCAGCCAGCCTCCCTGTGCCTCCTCCGAAGACTTGCTTCAGTTTTGGGGGGCCATGGTGAGAGCAGGAACACAGCATCCTCTCTACCATGCAGTAAGGATGACATCTGGTGGCTGCTCTGCTCAGTCACAGGCTGATTCATGGAGCCAGTACTGGTGATCACAAGGTCTGAGAGTTCTACAGGTTCCAGGTGAAAGGGATTCTGCAGATGAAGGACCCAGACCTCAGACAGGGGGAACTGGTCCAAAGACCTTTTCTGGAGGGAGTCTCCTGGAGCCCAGGACAGGGCTCTTGGCTTCTGCTGATTTCCTTTATTATCTTTTCTAATCAAATTTGATAATAAACGGAAAGCCACTGGACCGGTCTGTCATTGTCAAGCATGATGATGAAAGACCACAAATCCTTCCAGAATCAAAGTCCTCTCCACTATTTCCAGTTAAGATGTTGGAACCCAGCCAGAAACACCAAAACACAGACTCATGCAGGGGCAGAGGAAGGGGAGGGGCACACGGATATCTGTGTGGATGTCACCGTGTTCTGGCTGGGTCTGTGTTTTGGTGTTCATCATTTCCCTGCCTTTTAAAAACAGTTCTACTGTAAATCTAAATATCCTCAAACAATTTAAGACCTTCTGACTGGTCTTTTCTGTGGAGTCATTTGAATAGATTTCTTCTCTTCAAAAAAAGGATGGTGACAATTTGTAAGGCCACCTGCTTTCCCAAAGTACCTTTACTGGAATGTACTGACCTTGAAGATTCTGGAGAGTTTAGATCATGGCACGAAAGCCTTATCAGAACATATCTTTGAGCTGTGATCTCAAAAAAAAGCATTGATTTAAATGATATTTAGTAAGTATTTTAAATATTTACACTATTTTTAATGCATTCATTCATTACTTATTTTGATTTCCCTCAAACCAAAGATGCCTAGGAATCTCTTCACATTGAAGTATCTTCTTTCTGTTCAGAATCTCCAGGCTTAATTACTTCAAGATCAGGGAAAGGCAATTCCTGAATGGTTGGCCTGAATTTCTCTGGAAGCCTCAGTCTTGACTATGGGCTCAGGCACTATGTTTTGTACAATGAAATAAATTGTACATAATCTCTCATAAACGTTAATAGGTCAATGGAATTGTTACCTAAGTCAGGTATACTGGAAAATCTAGGGTGGTGATTGCCATGCCACAGTGATTGTCCTTCTATTTAGCTTTTCCAAGTTAAAAGGTTACTGTGTATGCACAAAGACTAGCTGGATAATGAATAATGAGGCAGAAATCCCAGGAGGAAGGCCAAGAAATGTGTCACTAACGTCCTGTTTGGTTTCAGAGCTGGAAATCACTTCTGGTGGATCCCTGTAGTGGGCCCTTTGATCGGTGCTGCCATTGGAGGTTTCATCTATATGCTTCTCATTGAAATCCACCATCCGGACCCTGACCACAACTTCAAGGCAGAGCAGTCAGAGGACAAACAAGAAAAATATGAGCTTAGTGTTAAAATGTAGTGACGTGCTCAGCTCTGAACTTGCAGCTGATTTGGAATTCATTTCAGGAGAGATGGCATCTATGTGTCTGCATTTTTGTATAACTAGGATGGAATCTACCCACTTCTCTCTGCTAGTTCTATGGTACATCCAGTTGCAAAGGCACCTGAGTGAAGGTTTGGAAAAACGGACCTCTTCTCTTCGAGTTGCTCCCTCCTCCGAATAGCACAGACCACCCCCTGAATAGCCTTCTTTCGTGACCTGTTTATTGCATCTTTGATGGAAGTCTTTAACTGGATGGTCTCAGCTGTGTAACTCATACAAAATAATTCACCAAAGGCCTCTTCTTCAATATCTACAAATATTACCTTCTGAGCGTCATCTAAAACCTAATCTGAAAGACAAGACAGTTGTTTCCGTTAACATCCATGAACTAGGGAGCTAAAGAGTTAATTCTCTAGTTATATTGTGCTGCTGCTGTCTTTGCATAAATACTAATACTCTCCAAACCTGTGGATGTAGAAAGCAGTAGAATACAGGAGAAAGCACAGGGGAAGGACACTGTGGCATTTAGAAACCTCAGGAGACAAGATAAATTTGGGAAACCAAATGGAATTTTTTAATGGAAACCATTTATCAGATTAATCTCTTGCTCTTCTGCATTTTAGAGGGCACCAATTAATTTCCTGGTCTTTAGTATATAATAACCTAAAATACAATTGTAACCTCGGTCATGAAAAATACATCATTCTGTCTTTTTCACTAAAATGTATTTTCCTAATTGCCCACATGAGGACAGACATTTGACAAGTGAAGTCAATGGCTGCATCATCCATTATTTTACAAGCACCCCAGAAGCCTGAAAACCACTGGAGCTTAGTCTAGTAGATTGTTTAAGGTAGGAAGTTTCTGGAAGGATACTCATCCCTCACTGGGTTTTACAACTCACAAAACCTTCGTATACATCATCTCATTTAATCCTCATAATGACTATGTGAGATAAATTCCATGATGCCCATTTTTCAGGTAAAGAAACAAAATCTCAGGGATATTAAGCGAGCTGTCCGAGATTTCTTGGGAAGTTGAACATTGTCTATTGCGAGCCTCCACCTTTCAGAAGACCACTGACTGGCTGAGGATCTCTGCCAACCCCTCCTGGTTGGCCGGAAGAAGTGGGATTCCCAGCTTCCGGGAGGTGTGTGCCTTGTGGACATAAGGCTCCTTGATGTTATGGTATAAGAGTTTAAGACCCTGCATTGTATTGTTTTATTCCTTCTGTTACTAACCCACAAGTGAAGGAAAGAGGTAGCAGTTTGATGGTAACTTTATCTTCTGAAAAACATTCCCGGAAGGCCTTCTTCCTAGGCTGCCCTCGGTCTTGCTGAGTCCTGACCTTCCTCCCTGGGCACCTCCGAACTTGGCCTTCAGGGAATTCATCCTCCCTCAGCCTCTCCCCCCATGAAGCTCTCTGATTCATGATCGTTCCAACCAGAGCATCTCCGTGATCGAGCTGCAGTCACCCTGAGAATTGCTCTGCAGCAAGAGACACATCTTTAGCCAAACTGTTCAAAGCCAGACATTCCTAAGGGGCATTCGATTTCCCACCAGGCTTGTGAGAACAGCGGAAAAACAAAAAGCAAATGGGAAATGTCTCTGATGGTGTATATTCTAAAACCAGTGGAGAAACAGAAATTTGTTCTTATTCTGAATCCAACTGAATTTTCCCTATTTAAAATAAAGTTGCTGGTTTGGTTTTTTAAATGGGGTTTCTTTCTTTTTTCATTTGTGTAAGTACTAAGACTGCTAAGCACACTTGTTTCGGAGGTTCTACATCCTGTCTGCAAACTGAATATCCTGGGGAGTGTCTTGAAAATACAAATTCCCCATTGGCCCGTTGGAGCTGAGCAAGGGATGAAAATATTGGCTTTGTTAAACCACATGGGTCTAAGGTTTCCATGAAGACCATGTTGACCATGCACTTACTAGTAACATTCTCAGAGGCTGGGGAGCCCGATGGATTGGAGCAGTGGTACTTAACAGGAAACAGTCTTGCTCCCTCCTCCCCCTGCTCCTCGGGAGAACATTTGGCAATGTTTTGGAGACATCACTGGGGAAGAAGAGCGATAATAGTATCCAGTGGCTGGCGACTAGGGGTATGACCAAGCATTTTACAATATAAGAACAGCCCTTCACAACAAAGAACTATTTGACCCCAAAATGGCCCAATAGTGCTGAGGCTCAGAGACTGGAGCTTTGGGAAGGTGGGAGAAGTAAGGGGAGACACAGAAACCCTGAGGAGCATTCAAGTTCTGCCAGGAACAAAGAAGCTGAACAAGTCAGGCACAGCATCTTGGGATGGACTGTAATTCTTATAGCAAGGCACAACCCCAAAGCTGAGCTTTCAAGATGGGTTGAAGAACATAACGATCCATGCAGGTGCTCATTAAACCCGATGACTGACGACTAGGATTATGAAGAGGAAATGTACTGTATTAGAAACCTACCCCAGGAAGCCTTTTTTTAATTGGAAAAAATTCCCTCTTGTTCCAGGTGCTCACACTCAAGTCCTCTCCCATCCCCCAGTTTACAAGTTCATTTGCCTTTATCAGGTTCTTCACCCAGAAAATGTTAATGAGGTTGAAATGCCTGTGTCAGAAGTCAGATAGAGCTAACATCCTATTTTTAAAATAGCTCCTTTAGGAGATGAAATTGTAGTGCTCCCTCCTCATCCTTGTCCAGTGAAAAACTTCATAGGAGTATTTATCTTAATGTCAGAAATAGAATTTCTCTATGATTTTCTAACCAGGTGAGTTCTCAGGGTGTGCATTGGAGTATAGACTTTTCCAACCAGTAAAAACTATAGACAATATTCAGCTTTTAGACAAGATAAGTGGAGCTTAAAATGTCATACTTAGAATGCCAATCCTTAAGAGATAAATTATGATTTCCACTGTTAGTTAACACACACACATCTTATTGTAAGATATGTCAGTGTTTCATAATATTATGGGAAAAGAATTACAACTTCCTGCTATACAGAATGGTTTATAAATCTTATTTAGCCATAGAATCTATTGTTCAAATAAAACCTTGTATGGGACCTATACATGAACTGGAGCTGCTACATATTGAAAGGAAGGGGAGAATCAGGGCTTCGTTCTGCTTGTGACATCATCTCCCAGGGTGGCGCCCAAGGTGTCTCTGAAGAGAAACTCGTGTGTGTGTGTGTGTGTGTGTGTGTGTGTGTGTGTGTGTTGGGATTGGCATGGAGTCTTCAGAACACAGCATCATAGTCTGAAAACCATTGATAAAGTCTTGGAATAAGTTGTTGAGGAACATTTTAATTTAAGTTTCAAGGATGGAATCTACCACAGGTCATTGTGTCAGGCAACTTCTCAATCTTGTGATAAAATAACTGAGATAAACAACTGAAAGGAGGTCGGGTTTATTTTGGCTCACAGTTTCAGTCCATAGTCACTTGGTCTTGTTACTTAGGGGCTAGTAGAGGCATGATGCCTCAGGATGGAAGCATGTGACAATACAGCTGGGCGTCTCATAGAGGCTGCAAAGCAAAAAGAGAGAAAAGAAGAACAGGGGTCCTAATATCATCTTCAAGGGCGTGCCTTCCACCAGGCCTGGCGCCTAATGGTTCCAACAATTCCTAAGAGCACCATAGACCAAGCCTTCTGCTTAAAGCCCTTTGGGGGACAATGTAGATTCAAACTATAGCAGTCATGTTAGTTTACTATCTGAAAATTTTCCAAAGATTTCTTAGTAAATGAATTATTATGAGAAGAATTACTCATCCCATCAAATGTCACCCACAAAGAGATGTTATGTATCAATTTTCAAACTGAGAATTGAAATTCTCCGAAATATCACATTTACTAATCACAGCCCATGGAGAAAAGCAGTGGCAGCCCCGGTAAGGCTTACTGTGTGGACTGTAAGTCTGTATGAAAACAAAAACACAGATGATGATGCTGATGGTGATGATGATGATAGCTAGATAACCAGCCAGGCCTCAATCTCTTTAATGTTGCTAAAAATAAGAATCCAAGAGAAAAAGTCTCTTGATTAACAGAAAGAGAGCCCCATATAACTAAACATAAATACATAAACTGAATTAGTGGAGAAAATCCATGGAACCCCTTGTGGATGGAGATGCCACCTAAGGCTGGTTGACTCTCTCCTTCCAGGGCTATATTTTGTTTTCCCTGGGCTTTAGGCCCTTTTGCTTTGGAGGGACTCTTCATCCACAAAAAAGCTAATCAATCAATTAAAATAAATTTTTGTGACTCTACTAGTGACAAAATGGATTATATTCTTTTTTTCCTCATATGATTTTAGGAAAGATGAACACATTTTTGTGTGCTCCTAAAGGTATTTCGGGTCCTAGGCACATCCTCCACTCCTCCCTTCCATCCCCCCACAATGTCCCAGAGCCCAGTGACACCTCACCCACGTCCTTTTCACAGAGCTCAACTCCCTGCTATGGAGTCTGCAGAGCTAGGGAGCTTGAGAAGAATACTCTAGAGCCACCGAGAGCTTCCATGGTATAGGTCTCCCTTCTCCTCCTTCTCTTCCTTTTCCTCCTCCAGCATCCAGAAAGCAGGAACCCCCAGGAGGCACCAGGGCCTGAGCACACTAAGTTCCAGAGTATATTGTCCCACAGCTTACAAAGCACATTCAGGTCCAGTTCCTCAAAAGACCAGCCCAGAGAGCTATTATTGCCATTTAGAGATGAGAGACTGAGGCTCTGAGCCCCTGAAAGAGTTGCCACAACTGGAGAGTGATGAGTGGGAGTAGTAGGATATAGGCCACAGGTCTGAGAAATCTTGAAATCTCTTGGGAAAAAAAAAAAAAGAAAGAAAGCTCTTGGTGTTAACAGCTCTTAGTGTTACCAGCTCAGCCTTGGATTCTTTTGTGTAACTTGAGATAGAAATCACAAAAGGGAATCAGTACATTTGAGTAAGGGTTTTTGATGCTTATGTTCAAGCACAAGCGAAATCGTACTTGGGTCAGGGTCCCTAGAGTGCTCCCCAAGGATGCAAGGAATAAAGCTTATACAGAAAAAAAAGTGGGCTCACATGGACACCCAGTCAGCTGTTGCACATGATCCCAGAATGGCTGCACACATCTCATTAGTTCTTTGCTCTTGGCACCAGGGTTTGCACTTGACAAGGCCATCTGCTCATGCGCTTTGGGTCCATCTGTGCAAAAGAACCCAAGACTGAGCTGGAGAAATGGTGGAGGTGCCTTGTGACCACCACCCCAGGTAGGTCAAACATCAGTCAAAGCTGCTACACACGCAGAGTTGCTAGAAAGCCTGAGGAAAGGTCAGCAGCCTCTGAGCCTCATCATGGCTGGAAACATCTGAAATAGCTTATGCCATGGGAGAAAATCTTGGAGGGAAATCAGGGCCCTTTCTATTCTGTCTCACTCGCAGTTTTCTCAAAACTCAGGGTTTTCTGGGATGTGGCATTCAGTGCTAAAACCTGGCCAAGCTGGTCACCCTGCTTCCTGAGTTAAGACCCAGGCCCATCCCACCACTGGGCCTCCTACCAAACTGATGTCTTCTTTGGACACATGGTCCTCGGGCAGATACAATGTGTCTTGATTCGTCTACCAGAAAGATGGACTGTCTTCATTTAAATTTCAGCACAAATGTGAGTGTTTTGTGTGATACAATAATTTAAAAGATAGGCTATTAATGAGCATTCTGTCAGCTCCAACTTCAGAATATATTCTGAGTCTGACCTCTTGGATCCAAAGGCCTGGTCTAAGCCACTGATGTCTCTCCCCAAGGTCTTAGAAGACCCTCTCAATAGGTCTGCTGCTTTCTGCATAAATGCCCATGGACTGTGATCAACAGAGCTGCCTGTATGATGTTTGAATAAATTCCCAAGTGACTTTCAAAGCATCACATTCTCTGACTACTGCTGTCCCTCTTGTCTGTCCTCCCTGCCCCAAACACACAGGGCTCTTTGCTAACCCTCACACCCACTAAGCAAGCCCCTGCCCCAAGGCCTCTGACTTGTTGTTTCTAGCACTTGAAATTCCCCATCTGGTCTCTGCTCAGATGTCACCATGTTAGTCAAGCCTTTCCAATGACACCTCACCCTTTTATTTTCTTCCCAGCACTTATTACTCTCCCTAAAATACAAATATTATCTATTAAACTTACTAGGTTTTGTCCCATTTGCTCCCATTGCAAAAGAAGGCCCACACTGGCAAGAATTTTCGCTTCTCACCATTCCTGCCCCAGTGCTTGGAACATGGTAGCCTCTCACTACATATTTGCTTAGTGAATGAGTGAAGAAAGGGGTTATACTACCTGGATTCAAAGCCTACCTTCTCTACTTTAAAGCCAAGTTAGTTAGCCTCAGATTATTCACATGGGGTTGATAACAGTGAGCTAACGTGAAGATCCTAGGACAGTTCTGGTCTTAGGTGTCTTTGATAAATGCAAACTTTACAGCTGCAGCAGCTCCTACTGTCATTATCACTAATGTCGTGGTAATAAGTTGTCATTTGAAAGCATAGAATAAGATCAGCAGAATTTAAGACTTTCTCTTACTTTGCATAATTTAATCATTCTCAGTTCATGTACGTTTCAGGAACTAAGTGCTCAGTTTCATTTCTCCATCTTTAACAGAAGTCAGCAGGATTACCTTAAAATTCTTTACTATGAAATATTTTTTAAATAGACAATAGTGAGAAAATAATAAACTGATATCCATGTCCTCTCCACCCAGCTG